AGCTACTTCGCTTTCCAAAACCCTAATCCCTTGTCCCAATTCCTACACTTCTTCATTCTAGTTCCGACACTCGAGCTTCACTCGAAGTCTCCGGCGGCTTCGAGGTTCGTAAGAACCCCTAAAGACCCTCAAAGAGTCCGAAAGAGATGGGCAGGCAAAGTTCGTGGCTCTACTCCGGAGCATTGGCGTGTCGCAGGAGGAGTCGCTCTATGATCTAGGAAGCACCATTGGGAGATGCTTGGGGTTTTGCGGGTGTGCAAGGGTTGACAGGGAGGCATGTGCGGGCGCATGACTTCAGGGCCCACACACGAAGCTGTAGGGACGTGATCCTGTTTTGCTTCTTGGACCGCGATGTCCCACAGAATGAGACGAAACCTATTCCCGTTTCAGGATTGATGCGATTGGTTTGTTCGTTCTGCTATACTATACACGAGAACCTTGTCTCGTGCACTGGGGCATTCTGCCCTGTGCAGATGACTGTGCTGCGTCCCCGAGTGGAACGGTTTGCTGCAACACGATTTCCCTATGGGAATCTTTTGGGCGTGCTGCTGCAGACCGCGGTTCGTCTAAAGGCATGCTGCTCACAGTCTGATGCACCGGACTGGTCATTCAGGGTTGGAGGCCGCAGCTTCCTTCAATTCAGGATTCTGTTTAGGATGAGGGCAGGTCGAGCAGAAAAGGCCTGCCGGGAAACACGGACACAGCGAATACCTAACGCACTTTACCACCGATGCGGATGTNNNCCGTCACGAGCCCACCACAGCGTGAAAGGCCTTCCAGGGACTTTGAACTTCTATGAGTCTTGCACAAGTCAAGTAAACCCATGGCTTCAGAGCGAAGGACACGTCCGTTGCCCTGGCCAAGTTCGGCCCTGGCAGCATGTCGGCAAGCTTTTGTCTTCTTCAGCATAGGCTTGGATGGTTCCGGTGATAGTTCAGAGTCAGGCATACCTGATTTAGTTGCAGATTCAAGGGTTCTGGTGTTGCTAGGGTCTATCTATCTATCTATCTATC